ATCTTACCATTTGTGACAACATGTACGAACCTGGAGGGCATATGCTTAGTGAAATAAAGCAGAGAAAGACAAATATTGCATAGTATCACTAACATGTGGGATATTTTAAAAAACATTGAACTAACAGAGAGAGTTGTATGATGGTTGTCAGGAGCTGGTGGGTGGAGGAAAAAGGGATAGGATAGTAAAGGGGTACAAACTTTCAGTTATAAGACAACTAAGTTCTGAGGAGCTATTGTATAAAAAGTTTACTACAGTTGCTAATACTGTATTATATAATTGAAATTTGCTAATAAAGTAGAACTTATGTGTTTTCACTCCCTGCCCCCACAAAAAAGTAAATATCTGAAGTGGTAGATGTGTTAATTAACTCCATGGTGAGAATCTTTCCACAATGTATGTGTATATCAAATCATCACCTTCTACTCTTTAAATATCTTATAATTTTTTGCCAATTATACCTCGATACAGCTGAAAAAAGTAGTGGCAATACATTATAGATCTTATAAATAGAGGTAAAATGTATGAAAAAAATAACACAAATGACTAGGTGGGAAGTGAAAATATTTAAGGATCTTAATCTATAGAGGGTTATAATATTATTTTAAGGTAGGCTGAAAAGGTAAATATGTATATTATAAACCATATAGCAATCACAAAACACACACACACAAAACATGCAGTTTTATTTTACTTAAGTTAAAAAAATGGAGGTAAAATAAAATTTTAAAAATACTTAATCCAAAAGTAAGTGGGAAAAGGGAAAGGAGGATAGGAAATGAATGAATAACATGAGATAAATAGAAAACAAGCGAAAAGTTGGAGGATTTAAACTTGACCATATCAATATTTATATTAAATATAAAGGGTGCAACCATGGGTCACAAACTATGGCCCATCAACTAAATATAGCCCATTGTGATTTTTTTTTTTTTTTGGTAAATAAGTTTTTACTGGAACACAGCCATACCGATTCATTTATGTGTTGTCTATGCAGCTTTCATGCTATAACAGTGGAGTTGAGCAGTTTCAACAGAGATTATATGATCCAATAGCCTAAAATATTTACCATATGGCTCTTTACAGAAATGGTTTGTTGTCTTTAGTCTATATACTTCAAATAAAAGTCAGAGATTCTCACACTGAATTTTAAAAAAAAATAGCTATATGTAATGTTCAGGAAACTCATCTTAAATATAAAGACATGGGTAAGTTAAAAGTGGAAGACAAAAAGAGTTATATCATACAAATATTAATTAAAAGCAAACTGGAATGGCTAAGATAATATCAGATGAGGTAGTCTTTATAATGAGCTTTATTACCATAGATAAAAAGGAATATTTCCTAAGGAATTAATTCATAAAAAAATAACAATGTTAAATGTATATGCATCTAATAACATTCAAAATATATAAAGCAAAAACAGAACTGAAATGAGAAATGAACAAATCCACAGTTATAATAGGAGATTTCAACACTTTTTAAACAGTAATTGATAGACAAGATAAAAAGATAATTAGTAAGCATAAAGACTTGAATAGCACTTTCAACCGACTGGACATAATTTATAGTAGTGAATATTCCACCCTAAAACAAGAGAATACATGTTCAAGTGTTGACAGAACATTAACCAATATTCGTTCTAATCAGCATAATTATTAGCAAATTCCTATAGTTACAAGGGTCC